CCAGTGCTCTATCTCCACTGAGCCACCTAGCAGCCTCCGAAGCACAATTATTATTATTTGCTATATTTGCTATTAAGTTTAAAGTGGTTGTGGTTCACCAACAATCACATGGCTGATGAGTGACAGAGTTAGAACTAACCAATCTTATCCAATAAACATGTATTAAGTGGCTACTATGTGCCAGGTATCCAATCTTGTTTCCAAATCCATCGTTTCTTACATTATGTCCTGCTGCCTCCTGCAGCTAAATAAATTAATGATCCTCACTGATCTCTGCTGAATGTGATTCTACTTTTGGATTGCTTGATCAGTTCTAGAGATGCTCATGAGGTCTTTGTCAGTCATCTCCCATTCACTTCTCAGGACAAGTCATCCCACTCAAGACTCTGGCTGTGTAGACTATTACTTCCTAGTGGGCCTTCTTGATATTCTAGTTTTCTATTGTTAGCCTGGTAGATCGGAACATCTCCATTTATAACTTCAGCATATTTGTATTTTATTTTTGTATTTTTGTATTTTATTCATTTATTTGTTCACCGTTACCATTTCAGTAGGTCCTTCACCTCACATAAATATTCTATCATGGACTTTACTCCTACTGGAGAATGTTCCATATAAGAACTAATCAAAAGGGTTCTCTCCTTTGTCATATAATCACCAAAATTTTCCTTTATTCTCAATTTATTGAGCTACTTTATAATTCTCTGCACTACCTTCATGTAATAACTTTAACATTTTTTTTAAATAAATCATCAGCCAGCTAAATCCCACCCTTACCTTTCAGCTGATGGTAGTATGTTTCCCTTTTTGATAACATCATAGGCCCTATGCTTCCCTCTTTTTTATACTTGTTAAATATTACCATTAAACTCCAAACTGAATCATCAAACAAACCCTTCATCCTCTTCTACACACAGACCACTGAAAAAAGGTTACTGCTGACATGAGTTTTGCTACTAATGGTTCATGTTCATCTCCTTCATTTAAAAAACAATACTTAATTTTAAAGACTGACAATGGATTGTGCTTTCCTACCTCATGGCCAAGAGTGCAGAATGAGAGACATTTTTCAGACACAGCAAATGTGTGAATTTTGTTTTGTGTAATTATAATTATAATATTTGTATGAGGAAGGGTTTGTATGGGGGAGGAAGCTGTGAGTAGTGTCAGTGATGTAAAAAAAGGAAGAATAAAGTAGCATCAGTGAACATTTTTAAAATATCATTCTATTACTATTACATTACATTTAAAATACAAAGAAAAGCTTTTGTAACTGAAGTTCAGTTTAATTTACAGTCCTCTTTTTTGTATATTTAAATGATCATGTTGGTTAATCTGTTAAATGCATCATATAAAGAAAAAATTTAAAAAGAAAATATCTGTAGCCAATAATACAATGAATCCACATAAAGACACAATTATCAGTTAGTTACCTGCTAAATTCTCCTGTTCCATCTCATCGTTCATCTTTAGAAAATGACATCACCTCCTTCAATGTTACCCAAATTAAATTCCACCCAAATGACTGCCAACCATAGACCACCATTCTCCTACTTGCTGATAACCTGCCATATCTTCCTCTTTTGCCATTATCACCCCATTGATTTATATCATTTTATCCCATTATGTTAAATTAATTGGCCCTTCCCTCATATGCTCTTTATCTCACCTTGAAGCAAATTCCCTAACAAAAATCTATAGACAATAAAACTAGAAAAGAGAGATAGGTACAGTAGGCCACTTGCTTTGAAATGAATTAAAATTTTTTATGGAGGAATTTTGCATTTTAATTGTCATAATCCATTCAATCAATCTTCCATCTCCTTGAAGATACACAGCCTTGTCTAACGGTTAGGACACAGTTTGACCCCATCTGAATGAATGTTTCTAGTCTCTGACCCTTAAGAGAGGACAAATCACTCTGGGACTCCCATGGATTATGCTGCCCTCTGGTGGCCTGAAGAGTTCCATTCAGGTCAAAAAAATAGACATTCATGTCATACATATCACCAATAATTAAGCATTATGTTTGCAAATTGCTGTAATTTCTTTGGAACATAATTAAAATTAAAGTTGGAAAATAACTTGGTTTTTACTCTTAAAAGAGGTTTCAGGTAGTGATTCTTACAAGGCAGAATTGCACTCTTCATATTTCATAGAATCACAAAATTTTAGAGCTGTAAGATGCCTGAGAATCCAATACTCTTAATTTACTGATGATGAAATTGAGGAGCAGAGAGTTTAATGGCTTTCTTGAAACTATCAAACTATGGTCAATATCTTCAAAAAAGAAAAAAAAAGTAGAAAGCCACATATTTATAATCAATATAATCAATTAGGAAAAATATATTATTAATGAATGAATTGGTAAAATTTTCCCTTTTTGTGCTTTCTGTTTTTCATTACAAGGTCATATAGCATTCAAATACATGTCTGTTAAGGCCTGGGGAGTGGCAGTGTTAAAGATGATTGCACATGTGAACATTTTCCCACTTCAAATTTTCACTTGAAAGTTGGGTTTAGATTAATTTTGGGGAAAATTTTGGGAATGAGCAATATACAATGATAACCTAACAAAGAAACAAAACCATACCAGGTGTCATAGAAAGTCTATTAAAATAATTTATGGCCCGAAATACAAAAATATCATTTAAAAAGACTTTATGCTTAACAAGTCAAGCTTTAGTAAGCACTGTCATTAAACATATATGCATATATATGTACATATATTATGTTATAAGATTGAAATTGAAATTACAACTTAGAAATCTGGGGTACTTATCTATTTGTTACCCTACTATGCCCCCTTGTGACTGGTCATTATAGGTTTGTTTTTTATTTGATAATTTCTTTGGTCTGTGCAAACCTACAATGTGGACTTTTGTGTATGGGTGTATACTTTGCTAGATTTATAAGTAGAACTAACTATAATGATTTATAAATTTAACATAAATTTACACAAAAGAATTAACTTATAATGTGTCTATGCATATTCAGTTAAAGAATTCTATAAAATACAAGTGCCAAAACATTGTTGACATAAACTGGTATAACTTTAAGCCAGAAAAATCTAATGCCTGACATCGTATATGTTTGATTAAAAGAATTAAGTATGATAGAGCAAATAGCCTGGCGGTCAATATCCTCATTCTTGTGCTATCTGAGGTTTTTTTTATATTACATCCAAAGACAGCGTAATAGAAAGGAAAGAATCTGGGTGTAAGTCGTATTTCTGACTCTGATTGATTTTATGACCTTAAGCACCTTTTTGGAACTGTTTTCCCATTTGTAAAACAACAGGGTAGGACAAAATGATCTCTAAAATCCCTTGTAGCTCAATCATTTTGTGATTTTTATGCTTCAGTTCAGAAAAGCACTAGGCCTAGTGTTTTCATACCTTGCATAAAAGAGCTGTGTAGTAAAAAAATCTCAGCTCTTGTATGAATGAGGCACACAGCCTCCTCCTAGAATTTACAGGGATGTTACTGAGCCTTCTATCACTCTCAGAGATGGTATTTAATATATATTTTGTTAATGATGAAAGTTATGATAATGCTGCTGCTGCTGCTGAGGATAATCTATTAAGAAATCAAAAGGCATTTCCTGGATATCAATATTCTCTGTGTGGGGCACAGAGCCTATGCTTTCTTTATTTCCATTTTGGTGACAGAGCTCTTAGTGATGTAGCTCAAATGAGAACATAGGAGCTCTGAATGTGATAAGAAAAGTCATATTTATTTACACAAATATTTCAAACGTGTAAAACAATGGATAACATTCCAATTATCCAAAGATGACCCTAACAGTTTAGTTTACACATACAGGAAAATAAATACTGTATCTTTGAACCTGAGAAAGTGATAATCAATCTACTAATGGTTGTCAATTATGCAAAATGTAAGAGACGCTATGGAAAAAAATTAAAAGAAAATAAAATGATTGTTTGGGCTACTTCAACTCCTGGCTCATTAGGATTATAGCTATTTTGTGATTCTTATCCATAGACAAATGTACGAGTCTACCTTTTTTCTTTGACTATAAGAGATTAATGCTAAAGAAGCTGATCAAAGTCTAAAAATGTCAGTCTCTAGATTGCAGTTGTCCTCTCAGACACATTTTGATCATGAGCTTTACATGACTAATGGCAAATACCAACAGCAAACAACATTGATATTCACCTTTTGGAAAAGTTTCCTTAAGACAAAATAGGGAAAAAAAAGGAGACATCAAAATTTATAGGAACCTGCTCTTTCCACCAACGACATCTGTAAAATAGCTGAGAACATTCAACAAATCCACTGGAGTGATAAGAGGTGTCCAGAGAAAGAAGGCTAGCAACATTGAGTGGTCAGGTCAGGCAAGTGGGACAGAAGGAACAAAGCATTTGGATGCTTTCCAAGCTCTACAAAACTATGTGCTGGTGCTTGGAAGCCATCGATTACACTACAGGTGTCAATCATGAAATCTCTAAAACTAGTTACCATTCATGAAACTTAGAAATTTATATAAACAGCCTGCAAGTTAAACAGGAATCTAAAACACATAATGACTGAACACATGCCATGAAGTCTTTATAAGGAAGCAATCAACAAAGTTAAAAGAAATAAAACTGCTTGGAGACGTATTATTGCCTAAATTCTCAGTTCAACATTTTCAGAAATCAACAAATACCAAACATCAAAAACACAGAGGTAAACAAAAATATGATAACACAAAAATACTTATCTTTGTACAACCTAGAATATACCTGTTTCAGAGAATATTCTATTTAGGGCTATAACTAACCATTTCAAAATAACATTAATTTATTGATCTATTTTGTCTTCTTTAGAGTCACTAACTTGTGAGTGCATAACCATTTCTGACCTCTCATTTCTATCTTTATTTAATATTAGGATGTTTTAAGAAACACGTTTGCAGATAATTCTTAAAGAGGATTAAAGAGAAAATCTACACAAGACAAATCAGGTATTTAAAATACATTTGTATCATTTACCCACCTAGTTTATGCCTTGATTTCTTAGATTTCATTTTCTGGGCTCTCTTTAGCATCAATTGAGCAGTAGAAATATCTTTAAAGCCCCTAAAATGTAATAGTAAAATAGGTAAAAACAACAATTCAATAGAAAAAAAGTATTATGCATGTGCATACACACATATGTGTGTGTATGTGTAAGTGTGCATGTATAGATAATATATATGCATATATGGGTAGATATATTTAACAGAATTATTGTATCTCATTTAAATTATTCTATTACAAAATTTGAAATTAATGGAAAAAATCAAAATATTCCTAGAATTATGTCAAATAAATTTGGCAAAATCAATATTGAAATAGAAGAAAACATCTCCTTTAAAAATATCTTGTAATTTGTAACATAATATAGACAGAGAGAATATATAGAAAACCTACCATTCTTCTGAAATTTTTTCTTCTTTTTTAGATCTTAGGGACATTTTCATATAGCTCTTGAAATCAGATGAAGAGGACAGTTTTTGACTTTCTGATCTGGCAATAGAAGAGAACTAGTAACAACTGAGTTAAAGTATGATTGCTTTTCATTCTTTGTTAAACTGCAAACTGTTTATGCTCTGTAAAACGCGGAAATAAAATCTATTTTAAATAACAGAAGAAGCCTTTATCTTAGAAAGTAATAAAAGCCTGCCATCAATTTAAAATGTTTATGTTTCAATTACTTGAAGCATATTTCAATCCCTTTCTGCAGAGGAATGCAGCACAGAAAGAAATTCTCCTTTAATCCTTATCTATACCTAGGGAGCTATATTTAAGTGTTTCCCAGATGAAAATAATTTTATTAGAAATCTAGCTGTGGAACTTACTTGGTTTTAAAAATAGAACTAACTTTTACAATTGGCATAATTTTAAAAACTACCTAAAAATTATCCTTTAAAAAAACCGCTAAACTTCAATCAATTAATTAATCTTATTATAAACAGATATAATAGGAAAAAAAGAACTCTATCCTCACCCTTTGCTAAATCATAACTAGTGTTTCAAAGAATGTTATTTATTCATTTATTTGGGTGACAAGTTCCTTCCCCACACATATGCAAATATATTGATTTAACTTACCTGTCAGTAAACTGAGAGTCTTCAGGAGAGAATGGATTTTCTCTCTCATTACACTGCCAAGGTTGCTCTGGATGATATGGTAAATTAAATGAAGTGTCATCAGAGGACAAATACCCTGAATTCTTATCAGAAAAGAAAACGTAAATCCTGCATTACTTTACTTTCATTTGAATTTTGAACATTTTTATCAATTTACATTAATTGTTTGCCTTAAAGCCATAGAAAATATGACCAAACATTTGTAATTTATACTTCATTATGGAGACAAAAATGTTAAAGAAATGAAAATTTATGAAATGTACACACAAATGTCCTTTGTTGTCATGGGGAGGAGTATGTCTTTTGGAATAGTTTGCATATAGTAAGATGAATAATTACAAAGAGGCAAAAAAAAACCTTAAAAAGCTAAAACTTCAAAGTTTATCAAATAAATAACAGATCTTACAGTTCAATGACCCCTGATTGAGAAGCTTCAGCTGTTGCCATTCTAATGCAAGCCTTTTGTATTTTTAACGTACTGTATCAGCTAGTGGTACTTAGCCTGTTGCCAAACATACAGCTGAAGACCATCATCTTTCTTTTTTTTTTTTGCTACTGTGAAGTGAAGTGTTGAAAGAAATCCAAAATAAAGACAAAATGAAGCATATGAAAGAAAAAGCATCATGAAAAATTACATCTGGGGATGCAGAGGAAGTCAGAGGCTTCTAAAAGTAATTGTGTTTTTCAAGTCAATAAATTGCAGTATTAATCACCCAAGTATAGCATAACCGTAATGAATGAACAAAGATCTAGGACTAAGAAATTTCCATGACATGTTACCTTTGGCTGGTGCAGTTCATTTGTGAAAGCCTGTGTTTTGGAAGGGAAGTTGGTGGAATCCAAAGAGAACCATTCTTTCTCTAAGGCAGCCTGTGTGAATAAGAAATGCCCCAAAGTACACTGATAAAATCAGTTTCATTTAGATAACTCTTACAAATTCTTTTTCAAACTGTCTTATATGCTGTAAATGTTGCAAAAGTTTTCACATAATACATCAGAGTTTTTTCCTTGCAGGAAACTTTTGTCCTGTGCAATTTTGAGATGTTGTGACATAAAGGATTATTGAATGTAACTTTTAAAAAAAATATAGTATGACTTTTGACCCCTGCTCAGTGTTTTCATCTGACAGCTATAATTCCAAAAAGCACTAGAAATAACATGTAATAATTATGCACAAACTGATGCGTAGTACAAATATGTACAAATGATCATACATTCTCTCCTAAACTTATATGATTGGTCTGTATTAGCTGACATACTTTTTTTTCCTCTTAGACCTGAGAGAAAAAAAATGTCCATTTTTTTCCAATTAGGTCTAAGAGAAAAGGTCCCGTTATCCATTTCCCCCATTTTTCACCATAGCTTCTCAGAAAACTTGAAGGAATGTATCATGTGGTGATGAGTAAAACACCACTAGTAACATGATTCCTACTATCCAGGCCTCTCTCTACTTTGTCCTTTGTGTTAATCTTGATCCTGTCCCTTCTTCCAAAGTCCCTTCCCCCTATGATTTAAGAAATCTTTCTCCCATTTATGAGATATTTCTAGGATGTATTCTGTCTTAAGCAGAACCTGAGACAGATGGTTATCCTAGCACTGGATAATTTAGTACAGAATTACTGGGACTATTTATTGCTTGGATTGTCTAATGTGACAGTATATACTTTAACTGATACATAATAGGGATTGCAGGATTCTTTAAGAAAAGTTGATAATAGAATCACATTTCACTTAGAGTTACTCTGAATATTGATCAAATGTTCTTCTCAATTCTAAAACTGGTCTGTATAGTTAACAGCATAAATAAACTTTTAACACTTCTTATTCATTTTTTTCCATTTATAGGTATAAATATTGTAATATTTTTGTGACCATATGAGGTTTACGAAAACTCTTTTCTAATACTGGTATCAGGGACAGGATTAACTCCCTGATAGCAAAATAGCTTTCTTTTACTCATGTGCCTATAAGATATTTCACAATAGCCATGACATACTTGACTCCTTATAATAATGACATTGTAAGTGAAATTCAATGGTTTATAAAATCACACTATTTTATGCCCTAAACTAATACTTCATAATTATAATACTGCACACATCGAAATTTAAAGAAAGCATCTTTTTGCTCAGTAGACATTAAAATGAATAAGTGTGATAGATAATCAAAACAGTTATTTGGGATTTTATACTTATTTCTGACATTGGAAAATCTACAATTCCCCACCAGATAGTATAAATTATTCCTTCAGCATGACTGTAATAAAGGAAATATCATTATTTTTGAAATATTATGCTTTAATAAAAATGCATAGAGATCTAAAATTAATATAATTTAATACTTAAAGGTTGTATTATTGCATAAGTGTAAGAACTACCTCCACCAATTTAGAATATAACTCCTTCATGCTTTAACCTTCACATTTTTCTGCAAGCCAGAAAATTATCAGCTGACAGTCAACCATCTCCACCATCTATTAGGGTGGTTCTCAAACAAATATCATACAGTATATTTATTGGGATCATACTAATAAAGGTTTTGAAATTGGTATGATTTTCCAGAGCTCATGCCCAGCTGGCATAACCTCTGAGAACTGATGACTTCTTGAAGTCAGGTCTTTAGTGGAGGGTTACTGAGATAGAAATATGTAAGGGTAAAAATGGCAGTACTATAATGAATGGGAAAATAGGTTATTTAAAAGTAGCAATTTTTGTTTTTGATAGTTTCATTTTATTATGTTATAGTTAATGGTTGTTTATGTTGTATAACTGAGTCACAAAATATTACCTGGCATGAGTTTTTTTAGTGACTAGGAACTTTAAATATTTACAATAGAAAACTGAGAACAAGATATTAAGTTCCTTCTTAGGTCTGACAAATAGAGTGAAATCTAAGATCATCCCTAGAGAGCATCTAAGCCAAGGGCAAATCTCTTATATCACATATTTTCTCACCTTCCTTCCTTAACATTTTTATACAGGTAAAACCTAGTTAAACAACTATCAACAACAGCCTTAAAGGGGCAAAGATGTTGTGATGCCATACACAAAACAAAACAAAAAAAATGTAATTTGAAGGACAGCTTTGGAAGGTTAGAAGAAAAGATTGCTGTTAGACACGAAGACCCAATCAAATTCTGTATGTGCATAAGCACATTAGGCTTTTGTTTGGGGGATTTTGAGTTTGTTTGTTTTTTTGTTTTTTTTTTTTAGCACCAGCTGTCCAAAGCACCTCTATGACCCCTATCCTATAGTGTTTCCTTTGCTGCTTCCTACGTTCCCAAAGTGCAAAATCAAGTTGATTGCCCTCATTTGCTATAACCAAGAGATGGCCCTGGTAACATTGTTAGCTTCCCAAATTAGGGTCTACTTCTTGGAAGAGTTATATGAGGTCTGGTGCCAACTGAAGACTTCATTCAAATTAGAATTCAAGACTTAACCAAGTTTTTCTATTTTATTTTCATGCTAGAGTCGCATTCTTTAAGAATATATATTTTATTAACCTTCTTTTGTAATTAACATGATCATTGAGATGTCTTGGAAGCCTAAAGGTAATTTTAATAGATTAAGAAAGGATAAGGAACTTTTCAGGGAATAAAATGAACATAATAAATAACAAAAAATTCAACCAGGACAACTGATTTATATAAGGTCAAGCTTGCTAATGTGAAGCTTACACTTGGCACTACCAAGAATGTCTGAAAAAATATATCTATCCCACAATGTCATTTCTTTTGGCCAAGAGCAATAAACATATCACTGCTTTCTAAAATGTATGTTATTCTATTATGTTTACCACTAGAGATTTATACAATCTTCAGTGATTGATTAAGAAAACTTGTTCAGATTTTCTTTACTGTACAAACATTAAAAATATTTGAAGGAAAATTTATCAACAACATATTTTTCTAATTACTGGAGTCAATATAAAATTTACACATTATATATATATATGTGTGTGTGTGTGTGTGTGTGTGTGTGCGCGCACATATACACACACAACTTACACACATATAGGTATATCTGTGTGTATAGAGAGAGGCAGAGAGAGTGATATATCTACATACTTATAACTTTGGCCAAAAGAGATTATAAAAAAGAGACTATAAAAGGCAAATATCAAAAATTATGGAAATTCATTATTTTATGTCTATATTAACAAATCTTTACTGTGGTGTGTTTTGGGGTGTGCACATATACTTATATACATATAAGACACATACATATCTAGATAGATGAGAGTTAAGCAAATAGATGTATACATAGATAGACAGACAGACAGACAGATAGAGATGGATAGACAGATATTCATATACTTATGCTTACAAGACATTGCAAAGATACTAAGGGTTATCTATACCAGAAATTACCAGCCTGGTGAAAGAATTTGTCCATAGGAGGTAATGAGCAAGGGATAGGCTGGAGTAAAAAATAAAGCATCACACCCTATACACTATCAGGGATCCTTTCAAATTTTCACCAGTATCCTCACCAGAATTATGTTCTACATGGTAATTGGATACAAGCACATAACATATACGAACATATATGGTTCTAATTGGCCATACGCTAGTGATAAGCATCCTTTGCTAGTTACTATTAGAGTTCATGCCAACTTGTATGTATAATACTATACGTCCTATTTAATGTAACTGGCTTAACCACAACTTTCAGAATCCTTTTTACTTTTCCTCCATCTTCCCAGAAGGAAGATAGTGTGCTGTAGTGTAGAGCATTCCAGGACTAGAGTTAGGATGTCTAAGGTGATTCCCAAATATGACACTTATTGTGTGGTTTCTGGTCTAATCAATTAACTTCTCTAAGGCTCAATTTCTTTTTTCTGTAAAAATAAAGATAACAATATGTGCACTATCTGCCTCACAAAGCTGTGGTAAAGCGAGCACTTTACTTGAATATTAAAGTGTTATACACCTTAAAATGTAATACATGAACTCTCATGGCCACTTGGCCTTCCAAATTGCTCCATCATATATCAATCACCTTCTGTGTCATTCTGTTGGGTCTGGCTTATTCTCTGCTCACCCCCAACATCCACTGCTATTTCTGCCCCACTTTTCTGAGTCTGAAATAAAGCCTGGGTCAACTGCTTAAGAAGCATTTGTACTTACCACCATATTGGTATATTATAGCACCAAAATCTGGCATTTCACTGCTAATGAATCTTTCTTTTTTAAATATGAATTTATTTATTTTTAGTTTTCAATATTTACTTACACAAGATTTTGAGTTCCAAATTTTCAACCCATCTCACCCCTCCCCCACCCCAAGATGGCATGAATTCTGAATATCCCTTCCCCTAGTCTGTTCTCTCTTCTATCTCTCCCCCTTCTCTTATCCCCTTCCCCTTCTATTTTCCTGTAGGGCAGGATAGACTTCTGTACCCCATTTCCTGTGTTTCTTATTTCCCAGTAGCATGTGAAAACATTTTTTTAAACATATGTTTTTAAAACTTTAGGTTTCAAATTTTCTCCCTTCCTCCCTCCCGCCCACTCTCGTTGAAAAGACAAGCAACTCAGTATAGGTTGTACATGTGCAGTTATGCAAAACACTTCCATAGTAGACATGTTGTGAAAAACTAACTCAATTTTCCTTAATCCTATCCTGCCCTCCCATTTATCCTATTCTTTCTTTTGACCCTGTCCCTCCTCAGAAGTATTTACTTCTGATTACCCCTTTCCCAATCTGCCCTCTCTCTATCATCCCCCTGCTCTCTTATCCCCTTCTCTCCCTATTTTCCTGTAGGGTAAGACAGATTTCCATACCCAATTGAATGTGTATGTTATTCCCTCCTTAAGCCAAATTCTATGAGAATAAGTTTCACTCATTCCCTCTCACCTTCCCCCGTTTCTC